GTGGATATAAGTCAAGAAACTTAAGCAAATGGGCCCTGGTTTTCAAAGTCTCCATGTAAACACTATCACCATAAAAACAGATAACATTATTACTTTAAATAATAATAGATATTTGAAGGACTATCTTGTGCATATCTTAATTGAAACTTTTTGAAAATGTTTTCCATTTTCATGCACTACCTTCAAATGCTAATTTCACCAAAAGAATTTCTTTTAAAGTATGATTTTAGCCAAGTATTTTAAACAGCATGCTCTATCTGATGAGATTCCATTTAACAAGTTTCCTATTATACACCACAGAAAATGAACACACTTTGCGTACATATGCACTCTGCACACATTTTATTACACATCTCCCAACACAGCTGTGATCTGAAACCTGGCTAGTCTCTTTTGTAAATTCACAATATACACAACCGGGAAATCAGGCAAGACAAGAGTGACTAAAAAGGTACACAGGAACTACATGATCGGTTGAAATAACTCTCAATACCACCCAGTAAGTATAACACTAAAGTATCACACAAAAACTGTGTTCTGTAATTCCCAGAACATTTTCAGAGTTTCTCTATATTAATGCATTGCCTCTTGCAAGTTCCAGTATCTTTCTTCCTGTTTTACAACAATGGCGTATCTTTATCAATCACGACATAAATCACTGTGCTGCTGTCAGAGAAAAATTAACCATACAATCTGCATATGGAAGCATTTTCAGCATGTTTCCCACAAAAAAACCCCAACATATAGATGTTTCTACAATAAAGAACAGTATATAAATCACTTGCTTTATGTCACCTACTTTCATTTCACAAGACCAGTTGAAAATAGGCTAAAATGATAAAAACAGTCACTATGTCCATGGAATGTTTTGCTTTTCCAAAACAAGTGTTTCAGCATTTATCTCATGATGTAACTCATATTCCATGCCAGACTTGGTATTTTGGTTGCATCCTACAAAATACCTCATGCAACTTGAGAACTCTGAATTAATTTTGCCAGGTCCCTTTTCAATTCCTGTTTATCTTGGATACCCTGTGGAAAACTTCAATTTTGAGAGTCTTTCACATAAAATGGGTTGTTCCAGTTAAAAATTATTTGCAGATGGCTTTGGAAGTACTACAATAAGTACACTGGTCACCAGCATAGCCACATAGCTATTTATACACCATGATACTTGGAAATCCTTCTCACAAAACAGAAGTCCACTCTGCAGGGTGCTGTACGGAGAAAGGTTATTTTTGTCCTTAAGAGCTTACACACCGTATAAGGCAGAAAAAGGAACACTGACATACGGACAAGGATATAAGGAGACTAAGACAACAATATCGGAACAATAGACTCTGCTTCTGCACAACAGTAGTCTACCTCAGCTTCCTTTGAGCGTCATCTAGTACTTGACTAACTAGCTCTGCAGAATAGGAAGGAAACAACTGTGCTCCAGATCAACAACATCCAACCATGGCAACAGAACTTCAGGAGGTGAAAGGCTACTGTCTCCAAACTAACTGCAGAGCTCAAGCAGCACTTCAGTGCCACAAGACTTGTTTGACTGTCAGCAATATCTTATGCTTTTTCTTGTCATTTTGGAAGGCCACGCTCATACTCTCAGCTGAAAAAGAATCATTTGACATTTGGACACAGGAAAATAGTAGCTATCCTGAAAACAATGTAATATATACCTGAAAGACTGAACGGAAAGCTCATGGCAAAGCCAGATGTTTTTAAGAAATACCTCTTTAGAAGCTAGGTATCACACATTATTTCCAAGATAAAGAGGATACGCCCTTCAATGAAAGCTGGGTAGTAAAAACTATCTGAATAATTTTATGAAGAATCAAAGAGGACACCTCCACAAGAAGCCCCAGCTAACTCAATTTTCCTCAAACAGACTTTGTCTGACTTCTTAACTGCTTTATCTTTTTAGACAAACACTAACATAATGAGATAAAAAGATCAGCTGACAATAACTGTTTCTAATGAATCAGAAAAGGGAATGGTCTCATTCATTCTTTCTCACCTCAAGTTTGCCCACCTACCATTTAATTTACAGAAATTTAAAAGGCAGCTTCCAGAACTATCGTAAATCAAATAACACTCCCAGAGTTTACTGTATCTCCATTTTAGTCTATTCTAGATCATATTTAACACAAAACCATAGATGTCATCAGATTACAGGCTTCCTCATAAAATCCGAGTAAGGTATAGTACTTCTTTTTGTTCTAGCTGGAGTTTAAACATTATCCATAAAAGTGTGCAGTTTGTGCAGGAGCACTATCAAAACAGTTTGCTAGAGCTTTGCAGCCTGTAAGAACAAAGAATATAACTATGTTAAAGCAGAGTAAAGGAAATCTTCATGTGCATAGGAGAGAATAAAGCAGAAAAACAAAATCCAAGATGAGAACATTACTTTCCCTGCCCACAAAATAAAGTGTTCATGGACTTTCCAGTCATGACTATAACCTTAAAAACGTAAATTGATACAAGAGACCCAGTTCTACATCCATGTTAACAGAACTTGCACCACCATTCACGTCAGCGACAAACAGTCTCAATCTTTGTTTAACATTTCATTGAAGCTTACTCTAGCAAAACTCAGTTGACACATTGTATCCTTTTGCACTGTCCTGGTTTCAGCAGGGATACAGTTAATTTTCTTCCTACCAGCTGGTACAGCACTGTGGATTTGGATTTTGTGTAAGAACAATGTTGATAACACACTGATGGTTTAGTTGTTGCTAAGTAGTGCTTACCCTAAGCCAAGGACTTCCCAGTTCCCCATACTCTGCCAGCAAGGAGGAACACAAGAAGCTGGGAGGGAGCACAGCCAGGGCAGCTGATCCGAACTAGCCAAAGGGATATTCCATACCATAGGAAGTCATACCCAGTATAGAAACTGGGGGAAGCGGGCTGGGAGGCACCAATTGCTGCTTGGGGATGGGCTAGGCATCAGTCAGCAGGTGGTAAGCAATTGCATTGTGCATCACTTGTCTGTCTGGGATTTTATTCCCCTCTCTCTCCTTGTTATCTCCTTTTTCATTACAATAATTATCATTACTATTACTATATTTTATTTCAATTATTAAAGTGTTATTATTTCAACCTACAGGTTTTACCTTTTCCCAATTCTCTGCCCTATCCCACTGCTCGGGGGGAGGAGTGAGCAAGTAGCTGCGTGGTACTTAGTTGCCAGTCGGGATTAAACTACTACACACACACTAATTTTCAAAACTTCAGGCTTCAGAAAGTGCTGCAAATATATGACTTACTCGACCTTTAAAAAAAGAAAAATGGAAGTACTGTTTTCATTTCCAGTTATGCTAAACAGGTCTGCCATACTATAAATGCATCTGTTCAAGGTAACACACCTGTGGTCTCATGTTTGTCATTAGCGGTTCACCACTAGCTTAGCAATCTGCAAAATCATGTATACACAGACCTAAAAAAACCCCACCCCAATAATAAGCTATTTTACATTCATAAATATTTACATTATCAAAAGCCTTCAGGACAACAACAGTTACTCTCCACAGTTTATAACAATAAATAGAGTTTCTTTTGCAAGTTCTGTTGCCAAGTAAGTTTTTTTGTATCAACAAACACAGTTTAATAAACAGTCACTTCATCAGCCTCTTCTTATTTAAGTAGAAACTTACACAGTTGGAAAAAACACTTTACATAAAGTGTCACGATTTTTATGTTCATTTAATGTGTGAAAATTTCATCATAGTTCTGACATCTGAATGAAATCTGAACTCAAAGTTCCTTATGTATTTCACTAGTTTAGGTATCTTCAACAGCAGAACACATGCAAGAGCAATGTGTGTGTTACAATAATTATGCTATTCAGATTCTTTCTGGTTTTCAAAACAATTAAAGTAACATTATTTTCCAACTAAAAAAGTTCTCACAAGTATATGCAACAAGATTTGATCACAATTTTTTGATCCCTGAATCCACCTCAAACTTGCTATATCCCTTTGCCACTGTTGGACGATGCTGGTTTTGAGTAAAAATAAACATACACACACTTTGAACCTTCTATTTCTTTATGTATCATTTCAGACTTTGTAGTAAAACTACACATTGATAAGCCTAAATTAATAAGATTCTATGAAGCCAACATAAAAAGTACCAAAATCACAGGTGAAAGCATCTGAAATGTGAAAATCATTTGAGCATTTAAGTTGTATAAGAAATCTTTGACTTAATATTGTATTTAAGATCCCTCAGATGAAAACCATTTCACTGTGTATCATTTTTGTAAAGGGAACATGTAACAGTATACTTACACTGCATACACCAGTACAGCATAGACAAATCCACACTACAGTGTAGAGATCTGGGCTAACCTAGATACTAAAAGGAATCGACTCAGAGTACCACAGCCAAATAAGACAACTTATAATACTTCGACATTATTGATGCTAAACTGTTTCTGATACCATACGCAGTCATTTTATAACTACAGTAGCTGTACAGCGCACCACATTATGCAGTGTAAGCATATCCTAAGGAAATACAGTGCCTCCAATCAAGGGAAACTGTGGAAATAACTATCAGAACAAGGTACAACAATGATGATTTTTAAAACCTACATACTTACTACCTCTTATAGAAAAGGAAGAGAGCTCTTCACAAATTGATGACATAACCATACATGAGAACTCCCTGCTACTATCAGTAATTAACACAACCCTAGAAATAAACAAGAGCAAGCCAGAAAGACAAGCACGAAAGCAAGAGATTATTCAAACACTTAGTACAGCTTTAACAAATACTGCTTATTTGGGGATTCAGGCATACAGATATCAGATTTTTATTTGAATACAGAATTTGAATTGTGAAACAATTTAGAACCTTCAAAAGGTATAACTGATTCTTAAAGAGCATCCTTTTACTCCTCCAAACAAAATTATCCCTACATTGCACAAATTTTTCTGCTAGACTGCTACTGAATCACAACTGTGATTAATCATTTAATAATTAATCATTTAACTCACCTGACCTGGCTGGGGGGATAAACAATTAACAACCTCCTCCAGCATCACTGGTATGTGTAATCTTCCAAAATCATTGTTTTCTGTACTTTGAGGCAACAACTCTTCAGTTTCACGTTTCTGGATGGTTTGCTCCTTTAACTCACAGTCAGAGGGCTTTTTTGCTGAAGAATGGATCCTTCTGGTCAAAGTAGCCACATTTAATGAATTCAGTTTTAAGTTGCTCAGAAACAAACATTTGTAAACTTGGTGCAGACACTGAGACAACATTTTGGAGTTGATCAACCTAGAAAAACAGTAGATGTCAAGAATTACTTTGAAACGAATATTTAAAACAGTAAGTTTGTTTGAAAAACAAAGTGGAAATGCTCTAAGTAAAGCATTACACAGTGCAAGATGGGCAGTTTTATAGATATACCATGTCAGTAAAAAGTGAGAATTTCTCACTTTAACATCAAAAATTCTGAGAATCAGTTATCTACCAATCATATTCAAGCAACAACGGTTCTGTTTTCATAAGGAACACCTTCTTTTCCTTTTCATTGGGACATTGTAATGTTCTTGGAGTCCTAGCAAAGATGCTAACATTAAATGACTAACCAAACTGAGCACAACCAGAACAGTGACTTTAATTTCAAATTGTTCCTCTCCATTTTGCCAAACATAATGAGACAATTGCTCTGAATAGCAGCACTCTAGTTGCCAAATTTTCCATATTTCTATTTAAAACAGAAATGGACAAATCAAATACTGCAACCATATTTAAAACAGTGCTATAATTTAGTGTTACATGTGTAGTAAATATATGCTTTTCAGCATGCATTACATCTTGTAGTACTAAATATTTCAAGCAGAGCCAGAAACAAGAATTCTCCAGACTATAACCAACTGAAACAATAGTTGAAACCCTGGAAACATGACAGTGGTCAGTTACATAGTTTGTCTTTTAACTACATGGAGAACCGATGATTTTTTCCCCTCTTGTCCAAAACCAGATCAGTAAGCTACTAGTAGAAAGCTGCAAGACTTAAGCAAATTTTTACTATTAAAAAAAAAAAAACTGAAAGTTTAACATAGGTGATAAGGCTTTATTTATAAGATATCTGCATTTCTTTATGCAGCTGAAACCTTCTGTAATACTGTATTGCATAGTCTCTACTGTCAGGCAGGAAAACTGGAAACTTTTACAAAGAACCATTCAAAAAAGTGCCATCCTACATTCATCCCGTTAAAAGACAGGCAACCTTATTTTAACTATCAGATTTTTATTACATGCTTTGCTTGGATTTTACCTAGCCAGAAGCTTCACACATTTTGTCTGGATAGGTAAGAACATGCAGAGTCATCACCTCTGGAAAGTTATTCCCCTAACAATTTAAGCCTTATCTGGGCAGTATTTCCCTTTACTTTAAATTTGGAAGCATGTATCACTCTATAACCTTGCACACACATACTGTAGCCCTGAGGTTTTGCAGCAAACCACAATGCCTCTACAGAAAATATTGTATGAGCAGGGCAAAGACCAACAGTCATCTTCCAACTCACACTGCCCTACATTCGTACGAGCCCAAAACGTATTAACACCAGCGATGCACTTAACTTACAACCAACTTCATTCTACACAACTAGTGATTTTCTTGGAAGTGAGCAGAAAGCTACTTTCTTATGGCAAGCGTCTTAAGCGGCATTCGGGCAAGTTTGAGGCAGCCGCCTGCAGAGCCGGACTTGCACTCGAGCGGTCAGTAAAGGCACCTAGGCAACAAAAATTCGACTCGCTAACGCTTTTTCCCAGAGGCGACTGGAGAAGCGCCACGCAGCCCACACCCCAGCCGTGGGCCCCACGGCGGTGTGCAGGAGGAAGAGGCTGAGAGCTGTTCCCCCCTCCCAGCCCGGGCCAGGCCGGCAGAACACGAGGGCCCGCTAGAAGAGAGGCCGCCTGCCCGCCAGGTCAGGCCCAAGGGGAAGACACCATCACCACAGGTTCTGCCACTGCCCCTCAGCCCCCACTCCCG